GATGGATGGATGGATGGATGGATGGATGGATGGATGGATGGATGGATGGATGGAGATAGAGATAGACAGAGATAGATAGATAGACAGAGATAGAGATAGAGATAGAGATAGACAGATAGATAGATAGATAAATAGAGATAGATATAGGCAGACAGAGATAGACAGACATAGATAGACAGAGGTAGATAGAGATAGAAATAGATAGGTAGATAGATTTATACATACATACATATGCATGGTAGGTAGATAGATGAATGGATGGCTAGATAGATATCAGTATTATATATGTGTATATACATATATACATATGTATATATACATATAACTCAAAACCTTCCCTGATTAATTTTTGTTGTTCATTCCTCTCAGACTGTTCCTGAGGACAAAAAGTAGGTCCTTTGGATAACCCCAGAGTCAGACCTTTCCAAGCAGTTTTTAATATATGTATGTATGTGTGTATATACACACATATGCATGTATATATCTAAGTATATATTTATGTGCATAGTGTATATAGGCATGTGTATACATGTATTTGTGTTTGTATATTCATATACTTATATACGTGTGTATATATTAGTCATTCAATAAACATTTATTAAGCATCTAGTGTGTGCCCTGCCTTGTGCTAAGTGCTAGGGATACAAAAAGAGTCAAAAGATAGCCCCTGCCCTCAAGGAACTTACAATCTAATGGGGGAGATAACAAGCAAACAAACATGTACAAAGTATTTACAGGATAAATAGAAAGTAAGGGAAGGCATTATATTATTATGTATGTTATATATCATTATGTTATATTACATATTATGTGTTGTAATTTATAAGTATATACACACAGATGTAGGGTTTGCATGCTTGATTTCTTTCAAGGGTGGTATAAAAAAAGAATTCTTTCACTGTGGATAATGCTTCTTGTTGCTATTGTATGTGTAAAGTATTGATGTATTTTGAAGTTTGATGTTTTTTGGCTAGTGACTTGCCCAGGGTCACATAACTGGTAAGTATTAAGTGTCTGAGGCTGGATTTGAACTCAGGTCCTTCTGACCCCAGGGTCAGTGCTCTATCCAATGCTCCACCAAGCTGCCCCCTTGTATTTTGAAGTTCAAATTCTCAACCAGTGTCCAAACATCAGTTCATCCATTTGCATGCACCACCCCTGGGCTATTTTGCTCACTTGTATTTAAGAATTGGACCCCTAGAGATCATCTATGGTAAGGTATCCTGAGGGTCGACACTCCTAAACTATGTAGCTCCGGAGCCCCTCCCAATGAGTTTCATCTTAACCAGTTATCTGGTTAGTGATTAGCTCAAAGTCATGGCATTTACTAATATGGCATGGTAAGAAGAGAAGCTATAAAACATTCTTCCCATAAACCTGGGGTATACTTTCCAATATATACACACAACTTCATGGGAATAAACTTAGGAGTTCAATGGTGGCGAGGCACAAAGGGCTAAGGCAGCTCATACCTCCAACACTGCAGGGCATCAAGGGCTTTTGACCTTGCACCAGGCAGAGTGCTGGTGCTAGACAGTTGCTTCACTACTAGGCTGAGCTTCTCACGGGGCAGCTGCGGTCTTCACTACCTCCAACTTCAGTTCAACTGTAATCATCAACCAAGGTACTGCTGTGCTCTTTCAGAAAGATCAGAAGACCTTACCCTAGGTCCAGCAAAAACTTCACCAGTTCTGGTACCACAGGATCCCACAGCTCTGAGGAATGCCATGTCCCAGGAAGGAGGTGGGAAGAGCACGGTCCATCTTGCAAGTCAATGCCCATTAGACTTAGCCTTTCTTTTTGATAGCTTTTTTCTGTTGTGGGGTTGGGTGCCCATTTTGAGAGATCTCACCCTAACTTACGGTGACTCTTCGTTATATTTTCCAAATCTTCAATGTTATGGAAAGGCAATGTGACCTAGTGGATACAGAGCTGGGTCGACAGCATTCCTTTGAAACTTTAGGTGTGTAACCCTAGGAAAATGATTTAACCCAACCAGAACACTACCTATAAGTGAAAAACAACCAGCTTTTAATATGATTGTGCGTGTATAGCTTATGTCAGATTGCTTGCTGTCTTGGGGAGAGGGAAGGGGAGGGAGGAAGAAAAAATTTGAACTCAAAATCTTATAAAAGTGAATGTTGAAAACTATCTTTACATGTAGTTAGAAAAAATGAAATACTATTAAATGGAAAAAATTTAAAAATTATTATTTATTTTAAAAAAAGAAAAGTAACCAGCTTTTATAATGAAAAAAAATCTAGACTGGGAAATATTGATCAGTTGGCAACACTAGCTGCTACCAAAGTTGTAGCCTGAAGACCCTGGAGAGCTTGAGGTCTCAGGGATAGCATATCTGGGGGTCAGTGATCCTAGGGGGACCTTTGCAAAACTTGAACTTATGTCATGAGCTGCCACACCTTCAGAGTTCTGATCTGCTTGGAAATCTAGGTTCCCACTTGATATTGGAAAGGTCTTTTGTTTCTTTGACTAACCCGGGGCGGGGAACCTTTGGCCTTGAGGCCACATGTGGCCCTCTTGGTCCTCAAGTACGGCCCTTCGCATGTGGCCTCGAAGCTGCAGGTTCCCCACCCCTGGACTCACCTATCTTTCCAGTCTTATTACACACATCACTCCATTCAGATGCATCAGAGTCCAGCTAAACCAGCCATCTTTCTGTTCCTCTTAATTGGTGACCCCTCTTCCCTCTTGGTGCCTGTGCACTGAGTATTTCCTATGCCTTCCTCCTCCAAGTCCCCCTCTTAGAACCCCAAGTTTCCTTTAAAGCTCAACTCAAAAACTACCTTCTACATGAAATTTTTCTTTTTAAAATTTGTTTTAATGTTTTCAACAAACAAACATCTACCTTCTGTTTCTCTTCCATCTCCCCAGTTGAAAAAGAAAGAAACACAAAACCCTTATAAGAAGGATGCAGAGTCAAGCAAAAAAACATTTCTTCCTTGGCCATGTCTAAAAAATATGTCTCGATCGGCACCTTGAGTCCATCCGACCGTACTTGGTCAGGAGGTGAGCAGCATGCCTCATCACTGGTCCTAGTTGGTCATGAAGCTTTTTCTGACCCTCTTCTCCTAGATGCTAGTTCCTTCCCTTTCTAAATAACCGTGTACCTATTTTACATATATGTATGTGTGTATATATCTATATATACATATATATGTATGTATACACACATGTCTCTTCTAGCTGGATCATTAATTTTTTGAAGGCAAGGATTGCTTCATGTTTCTCTTTGTATCCCCAGCACCTATCACCTAGTAGGTGCTTACTAAAGGTTTGTTGATTGATTTGTTTGTTTTGGTCAGACCTTTGATCTGTGAAATGAGCCCATGGATGAGGTAATTCTATCTATCAGTGGAAAAGGGATTGTTCTGTAATTTGTGATCTTAGTTATTTAGAGCTCTGAGAAATTAGTTAGATAATGTGCCCAGGTCACACAACCAGTATGTGTCCAAGACTACTTGAACCTAGATCTTCCCAGTTCTGAGAATGGCTTTTGATCCACCATACTACACAGGCATGCAGGTCTTGTTAAAGTTCAGTAATAATTTTAATATAATTTCCTTCAACCACCCAACAACCCAGGAAACCTAGATAAGAAAGGCAGCAAAACTGGTCACAACAACTGTTGCTTCTATCTCTTCCATCTTCAAGTCACCACTATATTTTACTCTCAACCCCAGATTTCTACTTCAAGAGTCCCTGAGACTGATTGGTCCCAGGTCACATAGTTGGAACACAAAGGTGATAGAGTGGTGATGCTCAGTGAGGCCGTGTAGAAAGTGGGACAGTTTTCTGACATTTCCTTTTTGAATTCATGCTTCCATAACCTTTGAGGTATGAAAAGCGCTTTCCTCCTAATACCTCTTTGACGTAGGTAAGGCAAGTATTCTTACTCCTCCTTTTTAAGATAAGGAAAATGGAGCCCAGAGAGACATGCCAAGAGTCACTCACTCAGTAAAAGACAGAGCCAGGACTCAAACACAGGCCTTGTGAGTATCAGACTACTTTCTTTTCACTATATAATTCTGCCTTTCTATCTTCTTGGCCATTTCCTGCCTACATTAAACATTTGGCACTTAATAAATCCCAGATTTATAGCTGGCATTATACTGAATAAGCAATTGCCAA